CTTCGCGAAGAAACTTCGGGACGATTATCACGTGAAATTGATTCAAACATGCCTTCCAACAAGAAGAGGACGTCAAGTATGGACCTGAAACCGCTGGTCTTGGAAAAATTAGCCACCAACACATCTAGAAGGTCAAGCAGATCGAGCATTTCTCCGGTGTCGGCAAAGAACTCGGCGACTTCGGCGTTCCCGCTATTCAAGTCAGTGAACGAGAGTGATGATTCGTTGACAAAGCAGCATCATCATCAACTCGGGACCATGCAAGCCATAATGAATGTTAAAATACCGTTCCCGGTTATGATACTAATGATGACAACGTTTATCTGGGTGTACAACCATTTAACGGTGTTGTACGCTTCTTCATAAGACTTTAATGAACTTTTTAATTTATTTATATGTGGGTTTGGGTTTGGGTTTGTAATTTGTAAATATCTAATTTTAATTTAGTCTCGCGTGAACGTCATTCTTTCTACAGTTTTTTTTTTTTCCTTTTTTTTTTTTTTCTTTAAAAAAAAAAAAAAAAATCACTCTCTTTAAAGATTTTTTGTTTAAAAAAGCAACCTTTTACAATTCTTTCTTGGGACAAAAATAAGACATTTTTTTCTTCTGTTTATAATACTTTTTCTTAATATATTTCTCTTTTAGTATCTTGTACATACGTAATTTACTATCATTATATTATCACCTAGCTTTTTGGCACGTTAGTATTGATTGATTTGTACTTTTCCAAAATCTTTACTTGACAAAAAAAAAGAACTCAATAAAAAAACTGAAATATTTAAATAATTTGTTTGCGTTTTTGGGAGGTCCAACTTTCCCAACAGATTGAAAATTTTACAATTTGAAAGAGAACATACTTAAATGTAAGAGTGTATGTAATAAGTGCCGCCAAAAAATTTACAGTATCTTTTATTAAAAAAAAAAAAAAACTTCTTACCCTCATTATGAGTTGCTCACTTTTCAATCCCATTTGATCACGTCAGGATGTTGTTTATAAGCCTCGTAGGCCTCCCTATTGAAAAATGAAACCTCAGACTCGTTCTCTTGAAGGATGTAAGTTTGCCAAGTTAGTGGGTGTAAACATTTCTATTTGAAATTAACGATAACACCAACCTAAACCACATGAGATCAAGGTATCTTCATCATTGCCAAAGATCCATTCTTCGTGTTCAATGTTTATTATTAGGTTTTGCGTCTGAGCGACAATGCGAAGGGTATGTTATTATATTTTATAGTAAAGTAGGTGTTTCCTAATAAAGTCGCTATTCACCTTTGCACCGTGAGCTTTTGTATAAAGTTTTAACGTATCTTCGAGATTACCGATGCATAAAGTTAGAGAGACAAAGGTGAAAATGGGAGTCCCCCGAATTTCAAATATTTTCAATTACCATAATTCACATTACGAAAAGGCTTAAATCCGGAAATAGTGTTGATTTCTAATTATTCGGTTATAGTTCGCAAAAACATTAAGAAAACGGCAATTCATAAAAAATATAATAAAAATTGATCGATTGAAAGAATGCAACTTTTACTTTGTCTGATAATATTTTTTAACTCTCCGACGGTGGTACTCTCTAGATTTACGTGCTGCAATACCAAATTCTTGACAGTACGATATTCAAAGTTCTTGATTACTCGAATGGTCAGTGTTGACGAGGTTGTGGGATTTAAGGTGTTGGTAAGTGCATCGGTGAGACTAGTCATTTTAATTCCGAGAGAGTAAGGCAATTGCGTACGCATGTAAATTGTAAATTTGACAATCGATATGACCTCTTGAAGAAAACGAAGGGTAAAAATAGTTGAATTATGTTGGAAAAATCATTTTTACATACATTTCTTGTGTAACATTAGGAGTTGAGAATTTCGTAAGAAAACACCTGTATTATCTACAGTATATATCTATTCCCATGCGAGAAAATTTACACGATTGATACTTTAATCATTCCCATTGTCTATCTTGTAAACACTTATCCTTTACTCATCTCTTTCGTTTACTTTTTATCGTGCACCGCCCTCTCTAGATCTGTGACCTGATCTTCATCATTGGCATGAACTATCAAATATTCGTAACTCTTTTTCTTTTTCCGGCATTTTAATAATTTGATGGCAACAGGGGTAACCGCGGCTAATGCTGCCAATGCTAAAAGCACTGCGCTCATTGGCCCGACGAATGAAGTTTTCTCGTCCGGAAGTGGGTCTTCTTGTTGAGTAGTATCACATAAAATGGGTTTGTCGAATGAAGAAGGAAATGGTATTGTTGTGATCGTTTGTTCGTCATCATTTTCTAGAGCTCCGTTCTTTGTCCCCATATACTGCTCTAGGTCGTCGTCATTTGATTCCTCTTGCTCCGCGGGTGGTCCTCCAACGATAGTGATTTCAATAGTGGTGATCGAAGAATTTTCCTCATCATCGCCCATCATGCTTAGATCGTCATTCAACGAATCGAACATCTCTTTGGTGGCATCCATAGAAAAATCCAACAGTTCGTCCATTAACGCGAACGGATTTGAATGAATCGTTTGATGTGGTGATGAAGAGCCGAATGTATCATGAAATGGAAATGAGTCTTCGCGATAAGACGATAGTAAAGGGAACAGTGAATCGGAATGAGATGGCTGGTCCTCCACGGATTCACATTTTACAGAGGTGGAGAGAAGTAAGATCAATAGCGAACTTAGGAATCTTAGGTTTACTACAAATTTTAACTTCATGATTTATCCCACTTTTGCAACCAATACGATCGGGTATCCGTCGTGTTTTTTTGCGGGAGCGTCAAAAGAAGCGTTTTGTGAATTCCCAAGATGTCATTTTATAATATCACTCGCTTATGCGCATTATTATCGGATCGGTTCTTATTACGCTGAAAGATCAATTGATATTTTCGGCATCAGTCTTTGATTTATATGATAGATCGATTAAGAACGATTGGTTTTGTAGATTCATGCGAGCAACGAGTAATAAAAAAAATAGACCGATATAGTTTTCTAAATTATTTTGTCATCAAACATTAAACGTCATCTTTTTATTTATCATAACCTGCCAGCAGGCCATCGTATAGCTTTAAGGTAGTCCGTTTTGATGAAAAAGTACACACGATGTGACCTTCTCGCAATATTCTTAACCAATAGATAATTCATGGTGATAAACTGTATATGGTGTTGCGTAGTGCGTGGGTAAAAATGTTTTGAGCCGCATTAAGCCACATAATGCCGGCGAGGATTTCAATTACATAATCATTTGTTTCGAATCGTTCAATACTAGTGTAACGTTCGTGCGATATAATGACAATTATGGTGTCAATGTTACCTTCATATTTGACGAATTTGTTCAAGAAAAAAAAAAAAAAAGCTTCATGCGTTTAGTTGTCGTCTAACAGAATTTCGAAATCAAGCTATCATGAAAATTTTCTTTTTCCTAAATTAATAAACGTCCGACCGCCAAACAATAATTTAGCCGATCACCCATTTCTTTATAACTCGATCAGTTATTTTGAGGATTCCCCTGACGAAACTTGATTTTTGTTGTAGTTCCAACTTATGAAACATAAAATGAGTCCCAAGAGCGCGAAAGGTAAGCTAACCAACGTTGTTTCGTGTCTTCATATTTGAGAAGAAGTTTCTGAAGCTTTTTTAGCGTTGCGATCGAATCGAAAAGGAAATCGTGTTAATAATGGTTGATTCGAGTCTCAAAGAAACATATCAAAAATCTACATTGCTTACAGATGAATATGAGACCATTGCAAAGAGACGCCCGAGGCGTGCGGCAACACAGAGCGTCTCATACCATGCCCGTCCCCCTCGTGCAAGAACAACTCGTACTTCCACGCGTAAGCAATCACAACCACGATCATTGCCGGCTGTCGAAACCCCCCCAGGAGATGTTGATGCTTCTGATGAAGGATCGCAGGAAACTGATTCCCTGGATATTGATGGAGGAATTCAGGCTCCACCGCCACCGACCCGCATTCGTCTTAGGATACAATCTCCCGAAAGCAGTAGTTCCCCTCCTGAAAAGTTGCCTAAACTGAAGCGTAAAGCTGGGAGACCGCGAAAAAACGATCCTAATTCTAAGCGTCATCGTGTCACTTTGACTGCGAGTAATCGTGATAAACTTGTGGAACCATCACGACCGATGGATGATACCGAGGAGGCACAACAAGCAGACAATGAGATGGATGAGAAGACTTTAAAGATCGGTGTCAAAAAAGAACAATCGTCTGTAAATAATGTCAGGAAAAATAAAGATGAAAAATCACGGGACATTAAGGAAGAAGCCGCTGAGGAAGTCGAAGTCTTGGACGAAAAGGGCGAACAAAAGATTACAAAAGACGGCGAACTCCTGGGAGGTAATGCATTAAATCACTTTGGCACAATTGGTAAATTAACGTTTGGGCTTTAATTTATGATTTTCTATGATTTTTCAGGTAGAAAGTATAGAGTGCCCGTCTTTCAACTAGAATCACGAGGAAACACCATCTTCATGTGTTCCATGGAGCCAGCTAAATGTTTGGGATTTCGTGATAGTTATTTGTTCTTCTCGAAAAATCCCTCTCTAAAACGAATCGCGGCGACTGATCAGGAGCGCGAGTGGCTTGTTGCCAACGGTTATCTGCCAACAAATTTTAGGAATAGGGCAATTACGCTTGTTTCTGCGAGATCCATATTTAAACTTTTTGGTCACAGAATTGTATTAGGCGGGAAACGACGAAAAGACGATTATTTCGAATCTAATATTAATTATGACGAATCTCACAACAGCGATCAAGGTCAAGATTCGGAATTGGAAAGCGCGAACAACATTCTTTCAAGACGAGCGAATACCAATTATATTCAAAATCCTCGTGTTCTTTTGAATGAGACGAATTGGATGTATCACCAGGCGCTTTCGTGTCGCGATTTTAACAATCGATTAAACATTCATCGTTCCGAAAAATCAAAATTTTATGATCCACATACCAATACTGATCAATTCCCCCGTGATACGCAACCGACGCGCATTCGTGTCGAAATGACTTCCCCAATGAATTATTCTGCGAGAAAGAATAACGCACCCGCACCGATAGAGCCTGAAGTTGAGTTTGTACCAAAAATTGGGAACCCACACAAGACACTTAGTGCAGAGGTTTTGGAAGTTATACCCCCTGAAATCAGGGAAATTGTTGAAACCATGAAGAAAAACGAGGAACTGGCCGAATATCACGTCGAGGACAAATATCCTCTGTCATTGATGGACGGTCAATTCCAAACCTCTTACCCTGTGTGAGTACTGAATGTTTGTACGATTATAATCATTTTAAACCCGTATTGATAGATTTTCTTCCAATAGGTATCAAACTCGATTCAAACCCGATATTCAAAATGTACCCATGGCCACAACCTCAAACATGCCGATTACACCAGAAACTGTTGCAACAGAGGAACAATCATATTTCCACTTCAGAAAAACTCAACCCACTCAGGCTTTTGGCAATCAGGTATTTTCCAAAAATTTTCAGATTTTCTCTGTTGAATCCATCTAATCGAAAATCTTTTGATTTTGATAATAGAGTTTTAATCAGACAGGAAGGAACATTTCACAATATTCATCAAGTAAGGCAAATCCACAGTATATATGTGGTGTCATAACTGCAACAACTGGTCAACCATGTAGACGAGCTGTAATTGCTGAAGGGGAAAAATGCATGTATCACAAAGATAGCGTACAAGCACCCGCATTTGTGGGTCGTTCTGTGAACAGAAACAAACCCATGAATTCCGTCGTGAACTCTGTACAGGTAGGTCTCAACATTTTGAGCCTCAACGAATGATTTTCCGGATATGGATATTTATATGTCGATTAATGCATTGTTTGATAATTATAGACCGATATTGCTGGCACCTCTAATATGCTGCCTCCCACTCCTTTTTCCCTTCCTCCCAACGCCTGTGCTATTTGCTATTCCACGGTTGTTCCTCCAAACCTGCAATTACCTCCTAAAGTCTCGTGTTCTACCGAGCACATTACCAAATGCTCTCAATGCCACCGAAAATATCATCCGATTTGTCTTGGTCTTACTACACCCAGACTTCTGGTCTCTATTGAAAGTTACCAATGGCAATGCAATGATTGCAAGACTTGTTCAGTTTGTAAATCTTCCGGTGATGAAGCCACTCTCCTTATATGTGATGATTGTGATAGGGCTTGGCATCTTGACTGTAGTGAGCCAAAAGTTACTGAGGTTCCGCAAGGTACTTTCCTCGTGTATTCAGAGCATACGATTCCGATCGCGCTCAGTGTATTAATAACAATCCCTATAATCTTTATTAGGCCCATGGTTGTGTTCACTTTGTGCGCAATGCGATTCGTGTGGAGAAAAAGCTACATCGTTGAATGATGCAGCAAGTAGTTATTTTCATAAGGATGCGATCCCCAATGAATCGAACTATCCGATTCATCTGGCCACGATTTGCAGTAAGTGCGAACCTAATTTCTCTGCTGATAGATTTTGCCCGATGTGCCTTAAAACCTATTCGGAAGTGGAGGATGGTCAAGAAAATGAGGATGACAAGGATATGGTGTGCTGTGATGATTGTGATAGTTGGATTCATGCGAGGTGCGACTCTGCCATCACGCCTGAACGGTATAAAGAATTGGTCGAAGATCCCGATGTAAAGTACAGATGTCCGTTGTGCGAGGGAAGAATAAGACCATTGGGAAAAGGTGATGAGGAACAGCTTCGTGCATTGTCAGGTTTTCCCATAGCTGTGCCCGTTTCTCAAATTGCGAACGGACGATACATTCGCGGCGTTGTTAACTTTAAGGGAAAGAAGGTGACCGTCCCCGAGATCCGGGGATGGGGAAAAAATAATGTTTAACAAAAAATTCTGGATAATTTCATCTCAAAATTTTTCAGCCACATCCAAAAAGAACCGGACTTGTACAATTGTGTTTCCATAATATTATAATTATTATAACCACAAGATCCACAAACTTAATAAGATAAATAAGTCATCAAGAATTCTAACTTAATAAGAGTAGTCTAGGACAAAAACAATAATATAGTTTCTTTTGCAAGAATTTCCATTTGTACATAGTTTCAAGTCAAATAAAATCTTTGAACAGGACTTAATTTTAGAAATTTGTTTATAAATTTACCATCGGAAAGTTTCTGTCTCATGTAATTATTTTATACTAAATTCAGGGAGCGGAACCTTCTTCGTGGTACAATGACAGGGAAGATATGGTTGCAAAAGAATCATTTTTTTATTTATAAACTATAAAAAAATATATCGTAAATAAATTAAACTTTTGATAAGTATAATATAAATTATACAGTTGCTCAAATACAGTATGTTTGTTAATTTTCTTTTTCAAACTATAAAATTATTATAATTGTCATGCGTATATTAATTTTAAAATAATAATAATTTTTTTTAATAATCTATATAAAGCACAAATTTTTAATAGTTGTTTTTTTTAAAAAAAAATTTTTTTAATATTGTATTTTAACTAATATACTGTATTAAATTTTAATAAGAAACAATAAATTGCAAATTATAAATGATATTTTGATATTACTGTTTTTAAAATTTTGTTCTTATTTAACAAATAATTTTAAACAACATACTGTATATATACTGTATGTTCTTATTTTTTATATAATAAAATTTGAATATAATTATATAATAAGATATTGATTTTATTTTTAAATAACATTTATTATATAATGAAA